CGGCAGTAGTGAACCTGTAAAGGAGTTGGACTGACTTAAAGAATATAGTTTTTGGGGTAAAGTAGTTCAGTAAATCAGTCAGTTAATCCAGAAACTATGCAAAGACTCGTAGCTGCGAGCAGCACTCCTGACCAGGAGAAGGTAAAGCTTAGGAATAATGACTACGAGTTTGAAAAAGCGAACAGTTTCAAACACATTGGAGTAAAGTTGGTACCGAACGGACAGAGCATGAAAGACATTGTTTCCCAAATTCATGTCGTACTAAGCTGATGATGCCAGGGTTAATCATTTGAACATTTTGGATACCCGAACGCAATAAACCCAGTCTAAGATACTGTTATCACTGCGGCACTCCGTGGATGGCAAACTGCGAAACGAGCAAAAAATGCGCGATGCTGCCTTATCCCGGCTTAAGTGCTACAAATCATGTGGGCGACTAAGCGGACAAGTGACATTTGAGAGGAGGTAAGAGAAAGGATGTGGAAAAAAAACATGCCTGAATCGGCGAGGTCTTGGAAGCTTATTTTAACAAGCTATTTCCGCAAGTTGTTCAAGACCTGTAAGCATAGGCTCGATGTCAAGATGGCGGATGTTAGCATTCGAGAGAAGGGGAGTTGAGATGTCGCGGTATATCTTCGATTGGTGTCGTGCTCAAACGAGTTACAAGTTTTCTGATGGGGGCTTAGATATCCTCTATATTTGCTACGAGATCCCACGACATAATCTATCAAGAACCGTATCGCCTCAGCCTAAATAAGGCTGCGACACCATTTTGTAGCCTAACTGCGTATGTGAAAACAGAAATGGCAGAACAGTTTTAATAGCAGTAGCAAAACCACAATTAACAGGCAAGTTTAATAGCGGCAGGAAAGTTCCCACCCGACGAACTACTTCTCTGGGTAGACTTAAGGCACTTATTCCCGATCAACACAATAATCGCACACTAAAGTATACAATCTCGAAACATGCGACAAGGATAAGCCTCTGGCTCTTAGTAAAAATTAAGATATTTGCGGGACATAATCTTGCTTGAATTCAAGCAAGGCAGTTAAAACACACAGATTCCATATTGGCCAAATACACTGTTTTCAGGCAAAGTAGATATAATAAGATTATGTGAACTTTAAATGAAAACCCTTGAGGAGAAAAAACGACTCAACAACACGCCCGAGTTCAAAATTGAGCGACTATCTCCTTTCGAGCGCGTGAATATCAGCCTAATAAAAGTGCCTGTGAATGGTTTGTGCCGCTTGTGTCTAACATTAAAATTGCTAAAGAAAGCCAATGAAGGCAAATGTAGAGAAGCAATTGTTTCGGACTATAACCGTTTATTCTCGGTTGGTCAACATTATGCTCCATTTCTCGGGACCGAATACACATCGGGCAGGACAATTTTCGTGTAATTTTGCTTACGGTATCAACTGCATTCAAGTGGGAAAGAAGTTCATCGAATAAGTAGGAAGAACATTCAATGCAAGGGTTATAGGGCAAATATTAATGGTGGCGAGGGATGACGTTTATTCCTACGTTACCGCCGCGTTTTACGGAATAACAGTAATACGTTTAGCAAGATACATTGGCCACGGTTTTGACGTAGTCATTACATCAAAAAATG